GGGTTGTTATATATATATATATATATATACATATATATATATATATATATATACATATATATATATACATATATATATATACACACATATATATATATATATATATACACATATAGGAAAAGTTATTAGAAGAATATATGGTCGAAAATGAATTTGAGAAAAATGAGTTTCAAATAAGGGGGTTTAGAAAATCAAACTGTTTGATAGCCTCGTGTGAATCTGACATAAATTATTTTTATTGTTATTATCATCAAAGTTCGCTTTTTGTGGTAAGAATGATACTTGTATATCTTTAATTTGGAGGGCTTGTGGTTTTTAATCTATTGTACGATTCTTTGTGAGAAAATTTTACTTATATTTTGATATTATGTACTTTTAAGCCCGTAAATAGTCAACTAATGTAAATCAAAATTCAGGTATCAAATATTTCTCTTTATCTTTTGTGTCTCATAGTTATAATAAATTAAACTTTAAAATGAGAATCAAAAAGTTTCAAATGAGCCAAACTCAAAAATTTCAACTGTTCAAATGTATCGATATCTCAATGTTAAACATTCAACTATGTGAATAAAATATTAGTTTTTATGCCATGTATCAGCATAAATATATTGAATATTCAAATTTATGCAAAAAGGGGTATTGTAACAATTGAGATTTTTCCAAATGAATCATTTATATGCATCTTTGGCTGAGCAAGTGCGAGATGTGAATCCCAAATGGATACCAAACAATGTGATATAATAGAAGAGTCAAGGCTTAATAAAATAAATAACTGTACAGAAATTCATAGAAAAATCAAGAGTCGAGAATATTTTAACTAGAATGCTATAAAAAATTGTAAGAATTTTGTTAAGTCATAATAATGGGGGTACTCCATTGAAGTTTCTTAAATATTTCGGTGGAATATGAAATGTAGTCTATACCAACCGTAGATTTAAGTCAATATCTACCATTCAGTATAAGGAGTTTCGACTATAAATATAATTAAAATCCTCATTTTTGACAAAAAATAAATCAAAATAAAACTGGCATATCATGCAACCATGATTATCTAGAACATTTTTTGGTCATCCATTACAATCTCCTACACCAAAATACCAATATTATCCATGCATGTCTATTCTTATACTCATTTATGTACCTCTTTGTTAACAACAAAATATCTCGACGTGTAAATTGTCATAATAAAATATTTCAATAAGTTGAGATAAACTAGCGCAAACAACAGAACTAGAGTTGTTTATGAGATATCACTACAAGAAAAATGACTTTTTGCAACATATAAATTGAGATTTTGCAATAATATTTTAATAAATGTTACCATTGTCTCATTTTGCAATGTTCATGAAATTGCTCCTATATGTTATATGCCCACTTAGCAGCAAACCATACCATATGTCCCAGTTCATGAGGTTAGAGGAATTATTTGAACCATCATGGAGGGTTACCAAAATTGCATAGAAATATGAGCAATTATATTTTCTTTTGTATGGATTCAAAAATTATTTGTTACGTTTTTATTTTTTGTGGATTTAAGAATTCATAATGAAATTATTCTTAACTTCATGATTTCCATAAGATATCCTTAAATTTGCTGGTTAATTTGCATAAATTACTATAAAAGCAAAACAAAAAAATGTAAATGAACTACAATAATGTCCAAAAAAAAAAAATGTTACAAGAGATAAGGATAAAAGCAAAGACAATGGGAAATAAATGTTATAAAAAGTGAGTACAAAAGTAAAGACAACACTCAAAAAATATTGTAAATAAGCTAAAGACAACATTAAAAAAATTCCAAAAAGGACAATAATAACAATAGAAAAAGTTCCAAAAAACTAAACACAATAGTTAATAAATATTGCAAAATGATATTAAGACAACAAAACAAGAATATGTTGCAAAATTAAATAAAATCAACTAGAAAATGAATATTGTACAAAAATAAGACAGTGATCACTAAAGGCTTTTATCTATGGTCTTTGGACGCTGTCGTATTCTTCTGCTCTATGACACATCGAAACCCGCAACATATGTTTAGACGTTGCAAAAGGTCTTTCGCAATGTTTTTTGCTTGTTGCATAAGACTCTTTTTATTATAATGGATTAAAACTCATTTTGTAAATAATATTGCAAAATGTCTTTGTAAAATGTGTTGAATACTCAAGATGATGATTGTTTTCTTTTTCTACAAATATGTTGATGTGAATCCATGTAGTAATAGTAGCTACGAAACTCATAAAAGATTGAATCACAACCCCAATAAAGTTAAAATTTAGGTTTGAAATTTGACCCAATAATTTATTGAATCAAAGAACCAAGACAATCCCAAACAATATCTTGATCTCGTGATCTCAAAAACTACTAACCTTGCTATGAAACTATTGAACGCTATAAAGAGTATGAATCTTCGATAAGTTCGGATAGTTTGAACACTACAAATATTGAAAATATTTGATAAGTAATGTTCAGTTAAGAAAGAAAGTGAAAATTTTCACATTATGATTAATTCTAAAAAATTAATGTCTTTATTGTACAATAAATGAGCCTTTATAGGCATAAAATAAACTCATAATCAAAACAAAACTCTAATTATGAAGACAAATCCAAATAAACTAGAAAATTACAAAACAAATCTGAATAAAATTAAAATACTACAAATAACAAAAATACCCTTAAACTAATTCAAAACATAAAAACACCAAAATAGACCCCTAAACAATCGATTTTGACCTCAAAGTTTGACATAGTCATCCGATGAACTTGCGTAGAATCAAAACTTTTTTGAATTGTACTCATGGCCAAAAATGCGACTACAGAGCAGAAAGTTATATATGCATTTTTGTACATCCTTTACGTTTTTGCACATATTTCGTATTCCTTTCATTTTTTAATTAGTTCAGAATTTTCTCTTCTAATTGATCCGTATCAATTCGAAACATACAATGAGTTCTTGCTAGCTTGCCCTCCATGATTCTCATCACATGTAATCTTTTTATTCTAGATTTCCATATTGGTATATACTTTTCAGTGATGTTTGATTAACAATATTTACAATCTATGTAATATTGATAGTCTAAAGATGATTAGGTTTCTGTAGGGATGTCAATGAGCCGAGCTGAGCCGGGCAAGGCCTTTATATATATTAAGCTGCAATAGTTGGCTGCCTTAAAAGTCAGCAGTTTGCTACCATTCACAATTAAATTTTTTTTATTATTAT